CTCAGCCTTTATATTTGATTAGTTATTTAGAATAAATATATAAGCTGGACTGCTCATTCCTGAACCATTATGAAGGGAACTGATTTGGATTGGTCATTGACTTGAGTGTGATTACTCTTTCAACTCCCAAGACTTGTCTAAAAATAAATTGCAAAAACCACTACTAAATTCAAACAAAATATTCAGTGACAACACTTGTATCTGCCTTTGTTCCAAGGGCGACCCCACCTTAGCTCTTCAATCAAAGCTTTGAAATCAGAGCAAGAAGATCCACCTTCTTCAACACATGGCGTTTTTACTATTGTAGTTTTTTCCCAAGTTTAATCACAAATCCCCAGAGCGGGTATATTTAGTATTGTAGTTTGGCACCTGTTTGATTTTACATTTCAAAAATCATAAATGTATTTGAAAAATTTAGAAAATTTTTATTTTTTTTGTTTTTAATTAATATTTTTAAATTATTTTTTCACGATCCAGATCCCGGCCATGGATAGCAAAGCAAGGGTGACACCCCACCATTCATCAAGACAATAGAGAGGTACCGCGGTGAAGATTTCTGGAGAGTTCAACATATCACAACAATCACCCGTATCTACGAGAGCCAGGGGAGACGGGTCTCTGAAACTCTTCTGTAATTAGAGGGGTTAGCTACGGAGAGGATACAGTTTCCGGAAAATTATAATCTCTGTCAAGTTCCTCAGGTCTGTACAGACGTTTCATCATGTAATGCTGAGCCTCAGAAAACAGAAAACTGCTGCTCTTCCCTCCTCTTCTCTGCTCCTTTGTCTCTGTTTTGCTGTTGTTGAATCTTCCAACCTGCCATCTTGCCCAAGTTTGTCACCAGTAAATTCTTGACACATCAATTTGTAGACATCAATACGAGTATATTTGGGATTTGTCAAATGTTTATTTTATATTTTGTCAAATTTTCACAACTTGAGTTCGTTTTGCAAGTTCACATCAACTTTTTTTATTCTGGTTTTGTTTTATTCGTTTTGTAGTAATTTGTTTATATTTTTTAATTTAAAAAAATGACGAGAAAAAATAAAAATAACTACAGATTCAAAAAGAAAAAAAAATAGAGCTAGATTTGATCCAAGTGTGATAAGATTTTTCAAAAGATCTGTAGATCTGAAAGAGAGACGCAATATTGCCTCAAAGACCAGGTGATCGTATTCAAGTAGACCTATGAATAAATGACATAAGCAGTCCAGAGAAAGTTAACCCGTGAAGTAGAAGATCATTGTTTATTGGATTAGTACTTTGAAATCCTAAACTCGTTTTGTTATTAGAACAAAAGGGAAAACCCACCTTTCGACTTTGTAACGTAGAAGCAGAGTATCCAACTTTGAGCCACGAAGACAGTCTGAGGTGTAAAAATTTTAGAACCCAATGGTATAAAAAACTTTATAATCGTATCAGATTTCAAACATCGTTTTGGTAATGGAAAAAAAAGCCTCTACCACTCACAAGCAACCCAACCACAGCAAAGAAGCCTCTACTCTGCCATCACAAGATCTTGTATGGAAAATTAAGAAGTAGAGAAGACACTTGCAAGCGAAAAAATATCCTCACTGAAATGCGTGTATTGTGGTGGAAGAGGCTGAGCGGGTACGATGTGACGAACATCTTTTAATCAATGTGTCTCTCTTTTAAGAAGTATTATTGACGGTGAGCACCCCCACATAACTCACTTCATGCATCTATTGGATCCTCATAAACAAGAAAAAAGACAACCACTCACATTGACTTGGTGCATCTAGTGGAACCTAATATGTCAAAAAATAAAATTAATGAAATTTCTTAATCACAAATCCGCATATGGCTTTTTTCGTACTGTAGTTGTTTTCCAAGTTTAATCACAAATCCACAGAGTTGGTATATTTAGCATTGTAGTTTAATCACAAATCCACATAGTAAAAACTGTTCATTTGCTCATACAGTAGCATAGTTTCTTGAATCTCTGTTTCTAATCGGAACAGGGAAGCAACAAGAAGATTGGAGTGGTCGCAGATTGTCTTTCTTTTGCTCACGACGCTGCCTGCCGAAACGCTGAAGATTCGCCAGCAGCTTGTAGGAGTCAAACCAATGCCCATTCAAAGATTGTATGAGATCTGTTTGCATTAGGTTGGATTTCATGTTGACAAAACCGAACCTCCATTCCTTCCAGTGGATTTGCGCAGTTTCTGCTTTTTGTTGTAAATTGCCGTTGTAAGAGTGTATTTGAGTTTCAACATTATTCCCAGCTTCTGCAAATCAGGTGTTATTCTCTTCTTCCACATTGTCAGTTGATACTATAGAAATTTGCTATTCTTTTCTTCCACCTTACCAATAATTTGCTTCTCTTTTCAGTTGTTCTGATATCTTCAGAGCTATTTTCTTTATTGGCTATTAGGCAGACCCAATACACCACATCAAAGAACCTACTGCCGCATTCATGAACAAGTGCTAGAGAAATTAACTTCTTCAGAGGGATGAGATGCATACTGGGAGTTGCAAAATTTCACAAAGTTTTGCCATCTCAGGCTTCAAAAAAAGATGGAGACTCTTCTCAGAATCATCATGCAAGTTCCTCCCTCCATTATACCCAACCATGTCGGCTTTCAGTACTTGTGAAAATTTACTAGTCAAATGTGAGAAGTTGGCAACGTGATTCGCATCAGTTGTGTTAAGAAGGCCAATTGAACTTGGCATGACTTGAGACATCTTATGCACTGGAGCTCCAGAAGTTCCTGCAGAAAAAGAGATATTTTATGAAGATTAATTAAAAAATCAAGGAAATCCCACAATGTTTGCCACCTAATACTCTGAGAAGAGTACCATCTGTGCATACAGGATAAGGAACAAAACCAGAACAAATAATCAACAGTGAAACTAGCCAGTTACCTATTAAAGCAGCTTTCAGAGAAGGTGAATCAGTGCTATTGTTGGACACTTCATTGCACTTCTTTAACCTTTGCCTTTTGGAACATGAATCCACAGAATCAGTTCTGCTGCACTCATATGGAGCTGCATCGCCATCTTCATTTGAAACCATTTCCGTAGCATCAAAATTCAAGTCGTCAATACTTCCTTTTTGTTTAGAAGACATCACTTTGCAACCACTCTTCACCTCAGTATCAACCCCATGTGTCCTATTTACTATCAGATCTTGGCTACCTTCCAGTCTAGCTTTCTTTTGTTTCTGTTTGAACAGCTCCCTGTAAGCACAAGCATCCATTCTCTTAATTCCAACCAGGACAGTTCTGATAACAGGTTTGTCAATGTTTCCAACTTCTTCAGTTTCAAGTTGTTTCACACTCTTCTCTTTCTTGTGCTTTTCCTTCATAATTAAAGAGCCCGAGCTTTTACCACACTTCGTTGAACCAGAAGAACTAGATGACGACTGATTCTTACCCTTCTCAGGCCTTCTAGAAGGAGTCGGTAAACTTTGTTTCTCAACCAATCTCTCAGATTTCCTCATAACAGGAGGAATTGTAGGGGGGGTCTGCTTCTCAATACGTTCAGACTTTCTACTACTTGAAGGGCTTGGAGTCAAGTTTTTCTTCAATGATGTTTCTCTAGCTGACTTTCTTAGACCACAAGTATCATTAGCAGCACCCAAACTGCTTGATGATCTGTTACCAATGTTTCTCCCTTTTATATCATTACTTTCCTCATCCTTACCTTTACGACTAGCCTTGGTATCATTCCCCATCCTGCAAGCTGTAAACCACAAACAACAACAACAACAAGAACAACATGAGATTCCATTAAATAAACCAGGTCAAGCTTAACATTGATGTTTCACAAGCAATTGACCAAACTAAACCCAAGTATGCCTACATTGGCAAATCAACCCCCCACTCTTCCACTTACATTCAACCCCATAAAAAAAATACTATATTTGAAGCAATCTTACGAAAACTTAGACTGGATATTCTTGGAAATTATGAACAACATTCTCATAAAGAAAAAAAAAATTAATTATTAGAATTTCCAAGTACAATATTCTCATAAAAGAGACAAAAATTGCCTAAAAAAATTAATTCTTAGAATTTCCAAGCAAAAAATTCTCCAAAAGAAAGACTAATAGCACAATCAATGAAAGGTTTAGAAGACATCAACAACGTACAATCAAGGCTGCATGTTCATTTCAATCACTGCAATGCCATTCATAATCACTGAAACACAAGAACCTAACGAAGAAATCAACAGAAACTACACCAAAATTACGCTAAACAAAACCCTAAGTCACTGAAAAAGTTATTTTTTTCTTTTTCAATTTCAGATTAAAAACCCTATCAGAAGGAGGGGGAGGAAAGGGGTCGATGAGATTGGAGTTCCAACTTACTGGAGAGAGAATCGTTGGGAGGTCACCGGATTTAGTCTTCCGACGGCATTTGACTGCCGGAGTCTTTAATTGCCGAGTAGAAATGAGTAAAGAGTTGATACAACTTTACCAATGAACAGGCCAGCAGGGGATGGGTCAATGATCAATGTCACGCTTTGTACTTGCCCAGTCGGGAGGTTACTTAGATGTTAATCTTTAGTCCTACTACTTTACTTGTATTCAATTTAGTCCAACACTAGAAGGATTGGATTCAGACTTCGTAGCAATCATTTTTTTAAACCCCGACATCACTTAATGAGTTAACCTCTAAACTAATCCGGATTTTAATTTTAATAAAATTAAAAGAAGAATTAATTTGTTATGATTTGGTAAAAAACTCATGTTGATTTTTAATCGGTAAAACCCAATAAAATTTTTTAATTTTTTTAAAATAAATAATAATATTATTTTATTTTTTTATAAAATAAAAAAAATAAATTAATCGGTGTTAATTCTAGTTAACATTTCTATGGTCTTAAACTTGTTTCGAGACAACCCCAAACCTTTGATTTAATTACAATGTTTTGTTTTTTTAATAAACTATAAAACTTTAATATAGATGAAAATGAAAGATCTTGGAGGTTGATAATTGACGTGATGTTAATCCATTCAACCAGTGATTCTGAACTTGCTTCGTGTCAATTGATCACAATTAGATTTAAAAACTATAATACAAAGGTTAACTTGATAATTAACTTTATAATTAATTAATAAGAGATGGGAAAGTAATATAGCTTTTTTCGTTTTTATTTTTCCTCTTTTTTTTCTATATTTTTTTTTCATTTTTTTTAGCTTTACATGTTTTTATTTTTTTTCCCAAAATTATTTTTTTTCTTTTTTAATTCTTTTCTTTTTCTTTTTTAAATTATCTTTGTCGATTTTTTAATATTAAAATGGTTGAAAATTTAGTTGATTATCTTTGTATTTTTTTAAATTATCTTTGTATTTTTTTAATATTAAACTGGTTTAAATTATCTTTATTTATTTTTTAATTATCTTTGTTGATTTTTTCTTCAAAATTGTCTTTTTTTTTATTTTTTTTTTAAAATTGTTTTTGTTGTTTTTATTTTTTTTAACATGGAGCTAGTTGAAAATTTAACTTTGTAGTTTTTTTAAAAACAAAATAGTGTGGATTACTGCTGTGTTTCTCCATATGATTTTTTTTATTTTTTTTCTAGAATTGTCTTTATGGATTTTTTTTCTTCATATTGAGCTGGTTAAGAATTTAGTTTCATAGTTTTTTTTTTAAAACATTATGGATTGTACAATGTTTTTCCACATGATTTTTTTTATGATTTTTTTCAAAATTATCTTTATCGATTTTATTATTTTTAATATTAAGCTGGTTGAGAATTACAATTGTAAATTTTCTCATAAAACACTATAGATTGCTACAATATTTTTCTAAGTGATTTTTTTTCTTTTGATTTTTTTGTTATGATTTTTTTCCAAAATTTTCTTTGTTTATTTTATTTTGTAAATATGAATCTGATTAAGAATTTAACTTTGTAGTTTTTTCCTTGAAAATGTTATGAATTGTAACAATTTTTTTCTATATAATTTTTTTATTTTTTCTCCATAAACCAACAACAATACACAAGTATGCCTCAAGCCCACGGCATCGCGCAGACATGATATCTAGTTATAGATTTTATTCATATTTCTATTTGCTTAAATTATATATAAAAACAAAAAATAAAAATGTTAAATTTTTTTTTCATTAATAGTCAAAGTTTTAGTTGTTGACTTAAATGTCAATCACAAATGGAGACACAATTTGTCATAATTGAAGGAACAATATTTAACTACAATGTTTTTTTAATATATCTTTAATATACATGAAAATGAAAGACATTAAAGGTTGATAAATGATGTTAACTCAAGTATATATTTAAAATAATTATTGTTAAATCACTTACATGTTTAAACATATGCCACATAAAATTTAAATTTAATATTCATACGTATAGTAATTAAAAATTAGATAAATATATACTTTGAAGATTACCTTGCAAGGTTATTTTTTAAAATATATATATGAAATGAAAAAAAACAAAATAAAAATAATATGTATAAAAAAGATAGAATATAAATAAAAAACACTTGAAACAAAAACTCTAAACGTTGTAAATATTATCTTACAAGGAAAAAAAATGAGTAATTTTTTCTATTATTAATCTATAGAAAATATCAATATATCCTTAATTTAAATATAAGTTGAATAACCTTATTATAATTTCTTCTTGTCCCATATTATTAATGAATATAAAATATTACCTTAAGTTTAGTATCCATAGTATTAATTGATGTGCACACAAGTTGATTTGGACACCCACAATAATTAAAAAAAAAAAAAAACACAATGTTATACCTCTAATATGGTCTTGGCTTTACAACCTTAAGTTAACATACAAAACTACACCAAGCAAACACATGATAAGATCTCAGTTTACAGGAAAATATTATATATAAAACCAATTAATGACTCAATTTGATCACAACTCAAGTTTGTTTATATCTATAGAATCTCTGCAATTTGCTTTTCAGATCAGCTATCATCTCAGAAGTTGGCAAAAATATGTGAAACCCTTCCAGCAAATTAGGATAGTCTGCAAACATCTCAACCACGTCCTTGCACTTGTTTCTGTATGCACATAAAGTCATCAAAAAGTCTTTGCAAGCCTCCTTGTTGATGCGCTTTTGCACCTTCCTTACAAAATCGACGGCTTCTTCATGGTCTATAGTAACCTTCTCTGCGGCCATTAATGCTTCTTAATTGATGCAATTCTGAGAAGGTTAGAAAGCCGAATAAAAGAACAGATTACCCTAATTATTTATTATTACTGTTTTTGTATTAATCGGAGCACAATATTATATATATTTGTGCCCTATCAACTCTAATTAAGTCGGACTCCTATCATGGTTATTACCTGCAGGGCATTTACCTATCCAATAGAGTAAGCATTAATATATATATATATATATATATATTTGGCCCATTTCCGTTAAGAAACCACCTCTCAAGTCTCCACCCATGGCCCAAAGCATCAGAAGTCTTTATGTTCAAGTGCTTTTCAAACTAGGTCTCTGGATCAATGTTGATGTTTATTGTAAGTTAAAACTCTAAGAAATAAAAATATTATAAATATAGAAAGATTTTTAAAATATTTAATATTGTTTTTCTTTATTTTTATTTTTCAAAAAATTATTATAAATCTTTATATAGAAAATAAACTGGAAAACCCTAATAATAATGAATAAAAAAATTCCTTTTTGAAAAACTATAAAAGCATCATAATAATGAATAGGAAAATAAAATTAACAAAGTAAATTATTTATTTTCCTAAAAGAGTTTCTATATCAAATGTTTTTTTCTTTTCTTTTCTTTTTTGCAATCAGGTTGTCATCTATAGTTATTAAATCCAACTCTACCTCTGCCCAATGGGTTGACTCTTAAAAGTTAAAATCCATGACCGGAGCAAAGTTTTTATTTGATAATTTTGACATTATTCTCTAAACAAATCCAAATAACTTTCAAATTACTATGCAAAACTCAATGCATATACTTATATTCAAAATTCAAATTAATGGGTCTTATCCTGATCTATTTATTGCTCCGGAATAAATTATATTGATTTTATACCTGCTTCACGTGTAATATATATTTATTTTCAGTATACTACTCATCTATTATTTCTCATTTTGCAAAATCCTAGCCATTAACTTGAGATGTTAAGTCAAGATTTAACTAGTGTTATGTATTAGGGTATGCTTGATACGTGGGTAAAGGAGTTCTTCACCTCTTTTACTTGTGTTTATAACAATTTCAAGGGTACGGAAAAATTAATATAAAGAAGTTTAAGATTTAATCTCAAAAGCGGAGTTAAATGGTAAGTTTATGGAGGGTGGAAGGGGTAAAAAAATGATTTATCAATGGGAGAGATATGGAAGTAGCTAGGTTGGAAGGGTAAAAAAATGATAATGATAATGATAAGATTTCAGAAGTAGAAAATAATGTCAATTATAATACAACATTAATTGTAATGGGTTTCTTTCAAAAGCAAAAGTATGATTTTCGTGTTAGAAAAACAATATAAGAAAATAATTTTGGCAGGAGTAACTCTACATCAAATTTTAGACCTAGAGTGGATCATAGTGATAAAAAATGTCGTATTATCATGAAGAAAACTATATCCAGTATCACTGTGAGAAGGAGAAAGCCAATGTAGGGAGAATTGAAGCTAAGGAGCAAGAAGTCTAGAAATGCTGCGATTGTACAAATCATAAACATGTTCTCATGGTTTATAAAGGCAATGAGGTTTTGAGAAATTCGTGAATTTTAGATTCTGCACTCTCTTTTCATATTTGTTTAAAGAAATTATGGTTTAATATTTATTAAAAAAATGATAGAAATTTTATCACACAACAATCTCGCTCGATCTATACCTGCAAAGTTCTCAAATTTCCGATAGGAATAAATTATATTGATTTTATACCTGCTCCACATATAATACATATTTATTTTCAGTATACCACTCATCTATTATTTCTCATTTTGCAAAATCCTAGCCAGCCATTAACTTGAGATGTTAAGTCAAGATTTAACTAGTGTTATGTATTAGGGTATGCTTGATACGTGGGTAAAGGAGTTTTTCACCTCTTTTACTTGTGTTTATAAAAATTTCAATGGTACGAAAAAAATAATCTAAAGAAGTTTTAAGATTTAATCTCGAAAGTGGAGTTAAATGGTAACTTTATGGAGGGTGGAAGGGGTAAAAAAAATGATAATGATAAGATTTCAGAAGTAAAAATAATTATGTCAATTATAAGACGACATTAATTGTAATGGGTTTCTTTCAAAAGTAAAATTATGATTTTCGTGTTAGAAAAATAATATAAAAAAATAATTTTAGTAGGAGTAACTCTATATCAAATTTTAGACCTAGAGTGGATCATAGTGATAGAAAATGTCGTATTATCATGAAAAAAACTATATTCAGTATCACTGTGATAAGGAGAAAGCCAAAGTAGGAAGAACTGAAGCTAAGGAGCAAGAAGTCTAGAGATGTTGCAAAGTTCTCAAATTCGAAGCAGATTGGAAGTTTGGA